CTGGGGAATTCTGGGAGTTGAAGTCCACACATCTTAAACCTGCCGAGGTTGAGAAACACTGGCTTAGTGCTTAGATTAATGCTCTCTTTTAATCTGAATTTATGAAGATGAGAATTGTACACTGTTCAAAGTCATCTTCAATTGGAGAGGCTGCCCAGGTGGATGGATGAGACAGGCTGCTCTGCAGGAATAACTGCTTCCATGTGACAGAACTTCACCAGTGCTTTCCTCCCCATTACTCACCGCCTCCTCGTCTAGTTTCTTCATGCGCCGTTCTGTCTTCATCTTCCCAGAGCCTTTGCCGTGGAAGCGGTGAGACAGCTGTCGGAAGGCCTGAGACACGAGCACACCCGGTTAGAAGGCAAAGGCCAACAGATGCCCCCTTGGCAGGGCGGGCACTGGGTCAAAGCGAGAAAGCTACGGCATTTGTCTACATATTGATCGGATGAGTTGGTCAGACATATTTTGATCTATGAAAGGGGTGTCCATGAAGTTTTTAAAAATCCGCTTCTTAAAATAAAAGTGGATTAATTTGGAATAACAGCAGCAGCAGGACGAGTTCTGCCACCTGGAGGGAGGTGAACTGTTAAGTCAACTCTCCTTTGGAAAGCAACGTGGGGGGGGGCTGCCCAGTACCTCTTTGGGTGTGAGTTTGCGCCCCGTCTCATCCACATATTCTATCTTCACATCTGGTTTGTAGCCATCCTTTTCCTTGAAGTCCTGTGTGAAGCCCCGATACTCTTCTCGCCGGCTGTATTTATCATCGATGGCCCTGTGCCGTGACAACACGCAGCCATCTCAATTCCCCTGAGCGCCATCAACTGTGCAATTCCGCTGGCTTAGCCAAAGCCAAGGACTGAGTGCACGCTCGCTGTGCCCCAGCCCCACCCCCCCACACATTTCATTTCTATAACACACTACAGAGCATCAGGACCTGCACGTTCGGCCTTCAGAAAGGCCAGGCCCGCCTGTCCAATGACAATGCTGTGCTTCTCTGGCTGAGGGGCGCTAGGAGCCAGAGACGAGGTTCCTACAACACATTAAATCCTAAACTGATCAATGGCCTGGGTTTGCACAACCCACTAAGCCAGGAAAAAACTAACCAAGGTTAAAATTAGAAAGGCTAAGTATGCTCCGGGTCTTTACTCGGCTTGACTCAGCACGTCAGGGGACCTGCCCAAGCAGCCTTAGGGCAGCAGCAGCATCGACTGCCTGGCCTTCCTAAGGCTTCTCCTGGTCCAGGGAGGACCATCTCTGCTCTCTGAACTCGTTGCTGGGTAGACCTCCTCTCTTTGCCCACTTACATCTTGTCTTCAATGCAATACACAGCCGATGGCAGCGACTTGTTTGGCGCCTTTACCCTTGCCACTTTCTGTACTGTGGTCTCCAGCAAGCCTGGGGAGGAGCAAGGAGAAAGGGCACCCAGTGATCCACCCGTCCAGCGCCTGATTAACTAACAAGGGGTTTGCAGGCCTAGAAGGCCGTGCCTTCTCCTTCTTTCAGCCCGGTGTGCAATCCTGCAGAGGGTGGGGAGACAGGGGTTAGATCAGCCCCCTGCTTACCTTTGTTCTGGCACAGCATCAAGGCAGCTGCCAGGCCCCGGTTGACAATGGGCTCCTCATCCAGGATGGTGGTGGAGGAGGCTGAGAACTGCACACAAGAGGAAGAAAGCTTTGCTCACAGGTAGCCTTTCCCAACCTGCGCACCTTCAAACATCCCAACACCAACTTCCAGAGTTCCTTAGCCAGCAGGACCACTGTTGAGGATTCTGAGAATTGAAGTCATACATCTGGAGGGTGCACCGATTGGGGGGGGGGCAGACTAATTTGAATCCTTTGCCAGCAAGAATGGCGGCGAGGGAGGGGAGGGAAGAGAGACGCCAGGCAAATGTCAGCGAGCCAGCACCCTCGTGAGCCTCACAAGCACCCTTTCAGACCCCAAAACCCCAACTCACATCCTGCTGGTGCTTTTCTTCATCCAGGTTGACAGTGCTCCAGCCAATGTTCTCCTCGCCATCAGAGTCAGAGCCCCCTGTGGCTGACCTCTCGTCATCACGCTCGAAGTCCTGAGAGCAGGAAAGGAGACGGTAAGGGCGATTAGGAGGGCGCTGGCTGTCCACACAAGAAGACCGCTGCTTCTCTACATAGGTAGGCCACCTGAAGTCTTGGAAAGCTAGCTCAGTGTTTCTCAACCTGCTGGCTGGTTGGGGAATTCTGGGAGTTGAAGTCCACACATCTTAAAAGCTGCTGAGGTTGAGAAACCCTGAGCTAGATGAACAAGCCAACTGCTGGAGTTGCCAGACAGCTGATTACTTTGGCTGTGCAGTTTCCTAGCAAAAATCCTCCAAGACATTTTGCGAGACCACATGTGCACATTTGCAGGTAACGTTCTCAAAGGATTTTGGAGACCACGCACCCCTTTCACAGTTATTTAGTTATGCATAAATAAATGCATACCACTTCAATCCTCAGACTCTAGTTGGTTTACAAGGGTTAACATAGCATAAAATGAAATCATATCTCAAAACCTAACAAAATTTTAGCTAAGATAAATAATCACACACACGTGTGTAAGGGGTGTGTGTGTGTGTATGTAGAGGGACAGACAGACACCTGTGGTTCTACAGACAGTCCCCAACAGCCTTCCAGAAAAGCCAAGTTTTTACCAGTTTCCAGAAGGCCACAAGGCTGGGGCCATTCTTGCCTCTGGGGGCAAACTGTTCCATGGGGGGAGCTGCTACTAAGTCAGTTCCCCCCCCCCCGAGACCTCCTGGTAAGTTAGGGCTCTTAGGATGTGCTGTCTGGCCATCCAGGTTGGATGGGCAGAAGCGAGTTGGGAAAGGCGGTCTTTTAAATACCCCAGCTGGAATCCTGCATGACTTTAAAGATAGGGTGTTTATTCTCAGCTATTGTAAGTTGCAAACCATGGTTTACAGCTGCAGCAGCACAGTTGAGCCTGTAGGGTAGAAGGCTAGGAGCCTCCAACCATGTCCTCAAAACAAACCCCTCCTACTTTTGGAGGTAATGAGTGTCTTTGCATTCTGGCTCAGCCCTCCTACTTTTGGAAGCAAACCCTTCATAGTTCCTGCTGCCAGCACTTTCCTTCTGAGGAACATCCGAACAGACGTGTCCCTCCTACCCCTGGCGCATGGGAGAAATCGGGCTCCCATAATCTGTGCTGCCTTACTGGTAATTAAAAAGGTAAAAATGGAAGCAACTGCTATAGTACAGTCTTCGGCCTATGAGGTGTAGAAACACATGACTAGAGCCCTTTCTTCTCCACGTCCTCTCGGGTGCTAGACCAACCTCAACCAACAAAATCAAGCTTCATTTAAAAAAAAGGAAAAGATAAAATGTAGTAACTCTTTTTAACTAGATGTCAAAATACAGACATTCCCATTTGGAGGGGAGAAATACAGAGCTACGTCTAAATGAGATAATGAAAAATGTCTAAAATAAGATGCAACACTCAGGCAGGCTATAAGATACCGCTGGTCAACCACCAAATCTTCACAAAGAGACCGGAGTTTCCCAATTATTATTACTGATGAGAAAACGATTCTGAAGGAATGTTATATTCATGCCCAGCGTGAAATAGGGATGAACCAAAGCTGACATTAAACATCTGAATTCCTATATTTGCCTATAAAAACAGAAATACTTAGCAACCCCCAAAATACGAAATTTAAGAATCCCAGTACAGTTTTAGGTAGACATTAACCCAACGCAATAAAAGTAGAAGATACTTGAAACAGCTGTTTCTTCTGCTTCAATTCATCAGGAAATGTCTTTTCCTGGGAAATCCACTTTAACCAAAGGTTAAAAATGGCCACTCCTGCTTTTATCCTCAGCAGACGGTTCCCCTCCCTCCCTTTCAAAGTTATCTCTTTGTTTTTAAAAACTCTCAAAGTTTCTAGCTCTAGCTCTAGGGTGGGGGTGAGAATGACACATGGCACAGAGGACATCTCTTCCTCATGATTCTAACTCTGATTTTGGCTGGCTGTGATGGTTTCAGCCTGCACATTCGCTACAGTAGCTTAATATGAAGTGTCAGCTTGTTTACTGTGGCGTTTTCAAGGAGGGTTAATGCTTAAAGCAAATCATGGTTTAATGCACAGCACAAAAAGCCTTTATACGCTGATTTTTTTTTTGGCGGGGGCCAGAACCAGGGTTCTGATGGGAGACGCACCCGGAAGAAATGCCACTCCTGCGTGTTTCCAAAATTTGCTCATCAACACTGCCCTCTAAGCTAGCCGCCCCCCACCCCCAGGTTTTACCAGAAGCTCCTCCTGCTCCTCGCGGTTCCCAGCCAGTCCATAGGTGGGGATCTCGCCCAGCGTGCGGCAGAATTCAGAGGTGGCATTGAAGACAATGGCGCCCTTCTTCTCTAGTTCAGCGTCGTCCTCCTGGCTCCGGCTACGCCCCAGCCTCTTCACTATTTCGACCACCTGAACAGAATGGTTGGGGAGATCGGGAACACAGGGTGAGCTTACGGGCAGATTCCTGACTCACCCAACACTTGGGGCCGCTTGAACCCTTTGCCGAGAGGGTCAGGCCGGTGGGATGGGCCAGCCTGCTACCGCCCCACACAGGGCCGGCCTCTGGCCTCCTTGCAGATTCACCCCCAGCCCTCACCTTCTCGCCACTGTCCTTCAGCTGCTGGATCTGCCTCAGCTTGCGCCCCTTCTCCAGCTGCTTCTGCAGCTCCAGCTCAGCCTCGTCTTCCTCCAGCGCAGCGGGAGAGTCCAGGCCTTGCATGGCATCCTCTATCCACCCAGCAGGTGGCAGAATGAGAGAAGGGAAAAAGGGCCCTGTTTCCACAGCTGTCCGAACCCAACTCTCCCCTCTTCACCCCCTTAGCTTCAGGCCCAACCTGAGTTACTCGTTGGCTTAAGCACCAGCCACGTTCAACGCTGGCCGCCAAACAGAAAACAGCTCACAGCTTCTTCCCAACCCAAATCGCAGGGTCCTCCTTTATCACCACCATCATTGCTTAGACCAGTGTTGTCCAAACTTGGCCACTTTAAGATGAGTGGACTTTAACTCCCAGAATTCCCCAGCCAGCCAT